GAGCATATCACCAATCATCACAGCATAGTTTTCATCTCTGTAATTTCCTCAGTTTTAATGGTTTTTCAGGCAGCAAGTTCTTTCTGATTAATAATGTTTATAAATCATCATCGATCAGCACTTTCTGAATCTGTGGCCAGAGAAAGATATCTCCTTTCATTTTTGCTTCACTGATTTTTTTAGAAACCTGTCAGACAGATATCTGAAACCATTACCATCTTTGTTCATTCCTTTTTACAAAATTCTTCATGAGCTCCAATCTAATATGAAGTGGGGGCAGAAATACATTTGGAGAATTCACTAAAGATTGATACTCGATATTCTGTTTCCTTGGTATGTAATTCCCTCTCATTGGTTATTCCGTCTTTTTGAAATGATTTTTATCATATTGGCTGTCCCAGAGACACAAAAAGCAACAGTATTTGGTATACCCACTCTGCATGCCTAGCAGGACTGCAATAGCCTTTAGATTACCCCATTTGTTCCATCTATGGTGACCATATTTGATGGCTTCAAGAATAATTTTTGATTAGTTTCTTTCATGTTCACAGCAAGAACAACAGGAATCGATGGCCTAGTGTTCCATTGCATAAAAGTACAGCTTTCAGACTAGCTTTAGGTGAATCAATAAATCAGACAGCCCATTGTGTAGCTTTGTGCTTAACTTCAAACAAACAAACAAATCGAGTTTTCCTGTATTCAACATAAACATATACCAAAAATTTCCTCACTCCTCACCCTAAAAATGTAGGTTTAAGTGCCAAGATCCTTCATCTATCTTAATTTATTATCGAGTTATGGCATTTTTTTTATTATCCCACTTTGCTACTATGGCATTCTCAGATGAATTGATTTCCGTACAAGTACAGGAGAAACCTGCTAATACACGGAAATTATCTGAATCTAAAAATTCAACTGAAGTTTTACGTCTTGAGAAATAAATAAACCGACACGTCTTAAGGAAAGTGAATACAATATTTATTACAAACACAGTAACAAAAACAAATCTGCATACCAGTGTAAACAAATGGACGATTGCCTCTATTGGACCACTGACTGTATCTTCAGCTTATCTTCCATCGAGTTAACCCTCTGTGCACGGGTAGGGGGTTAACATGATATTATGTATTTGATTTTCAGAGTTACCAACTATTCATTTTACCTTAGCCTACTGATTGAATGATAGTTTTTGGTAGTGAAGAGTACAAACCACCTACACAATTTGCAGGGATACTGAAAAAAAATTTACATATGCATTTTGGAGGTTCTAAAGGCTATGTGAATGAATTATGCAGAACTGTACGATGGAATGAGTTGCCAGAGCTTGAGCCAAACCGATGTCGTGAAATCAAACCAAAATTCGTGGCAGGAATTTAGGTTTAATACCCTTCCAGCCTCAAAGAATTTGGAGCCTGAAAGACAACCCAGGGTGCTCAGAGACTTGTCCTCTTCACTCCACGCGATGAGAAAGTTAGCACAAAACGAATTTGAAGTGGAATAGCCTCAGGGCTTAATTTTGGAAAAGAAGTCAGGATGAGAAGCTGTCGTCATTTCACGGACGTATCTTTTGTAACACATCTATTATTTTGTTGTTGTTGTTCTTTGAGTACAACAGACTTGTGCACTTCGCTAAAATTTTGACACACTTCGAGTAACAGATATACGTTGTAAGTTCGGAATTATAATTAATATTCTTTCTCCAATACAGGGATAATCTAATGCAGTGTATGACCCGCGGCAATAATTTGGCTGACCCGCCAAAAGTTGGCTTCACCATTGCAACCCGTAAGGGCACAATCATTGTTCAGTTCAAATTTCTCGGCTATGTCAGAAGAACAACGATATTAAAGG